TGTGGAATCAACAAAGAGTCACGACAATTTCAACCAACAATTAATGAGGCAAATAACGCTAAGCATGATTCATTACCAATCAAAGGTGTCCTACATCAGGCGGGATATATATATGTATACATAGTCAACTTTATACTCAGAAGTTAGATGCACTTTGATGAATTAAAGTTACCTCGATGTTGTTCTTCACTGGTATACGCCGCAACTACTGTTTTCTCCCCAATTTTTCCTTCTTTGCTATAATTTATTTATTACCCTAATTCTTATATAACCAATTATAAAAAGTGGTAAAAGTGACCCACTATTTATTTTACTATTATTTTCTTTAACCACCAACTAAGTAATTTATTAAAATTACCCCACTAATTTCATATTGTAGTTACGAATAGTCCAAAATACCCATTTAGAATTTATCGGAAAAGTCTTTTATGAAATAAAACGCTCTAGTACTCAAAACGAGCAAATGGGTCGTTACAGCATAATAGAAAACATCAATTAATATAAATAGTATAGTAAAATAGTCATGTCAATCATTATTTTGTGTCAAGTCATATATGACAAACACAAACAAATTTTAAAAAGTATAATATTTAATGTACTATAAGATTTATACCTAACAATTATTACTCATTATATTAATTTTAATACATCACTTTCAAACCAGCAATCAAAGACCCCAAGTTAATGGCTCAAAGGCCGTATGAGGGAAGGTAGGAAATAAAGCTACAACGAATTTTCGTATTTATTGAGTTCTTGTCTTAGTCAGAAAGTTGTTATTTCGAATTTTTTAGAAAATAATTTAGTAGTAGTACCTAACTCATATAGATTTTTTTTTCCCATAGAAACTAGACACTTGTATTATTGCATCAAAAAATTATATAGTTTAAACTTTAAATATATCCACAATATCATGTACAATTTAATATAGGAAAAAATTCTTTCTAGAAATTCCCTTCAGTGAAGAAATAAAAAAGTACAAACTATGAAAGTGGCCATTCGATTTTTTGTTTTATTAAAAAATTGATCTAATTTTCAAAATTATCGAAATTGAACAAATACGTACTTCTTCTTCCTTCCAGTTTTGTCATCAATGACTTATTTTCCTTTTTCTTCCTTCTTCATTATCATCTTCTTGTCTTCTCCTTTTTTCTTTTTCATTTTTAATTCGACATATAAAAAACAATGAATCGTTTAGAGTGAACTATATATGATGATCAAAAGATTCAAAATATTGAGAGGATTTCATATATAATTTTGTTGGACTGTTTAGAGTGATTTTGAGTTGATCGGTATTGAATAGTCAGTATATACTTTATGAATAGTCAATGTATATTTCATGTATAGTTAAGTTATATTCAATTTTTTGAATGTATCATAATATACCATCAGTACATAGCTCATGTATAGGCTAACTATATTGTATAGTTAGTGTATATTTTTTTTTATGACTTTTGACAAGATATGATATATAGTTCGCGTATACCTTTTATGACTTTTGCTATTTTTTATGTAAATAAAATATGACTATATTTGTTATAAAACTAATTACTTTATTATATATGTTTGAAACTAGTCCAATAATTCTTTTGGTTAAATTATAAGCTATTTTATTCAAACATTATATATATATATATATATATCAATATAATCAAACATGCTTGAAAGCATCTAAATATTTTCACACAAATGCTATCTCCCATTAAGAGTTTTTCTTAATAATTACTTATTTGAAAGTAACTTTGCAACAACCAATTTTTTCCAACGTATTTCCATATTTATTAAGCCCTTATCTCATCCAAAAAGTTATGTTTCGATTCGTTAGATGCTCATGCTATGGTAGTACCTAACTCGCAGAAGACTATATTTTCATTTCTTCATAAAAGCTAGTCACTTCGTATAACTACATCAAAAAGTTACATATTTTAAATATATTATATACAATAACATCATGTAACATTTAACCCGAGAAAAACCTCTTCGAGGAGTCAGCAAAAAATAAAGCATACAAATATCTTCACACGTTACTTTTATCTCCAATCAAACTTTTCTTGGTAATTTTGGAGCAATTAATTTTTTCCAACTTGTTTTCGTATCTATTGAACTCTTATCTTATCCAAAAAGATAATGTTTGATATTTTAGAAAGTAATTTGTGAGCCTTACAGGATGTTCTATTCAATGCTAGTACGCTTAACTCACAAACATCTGATTTTTTTCTACTTTTCAATTTAATTTGCTTATCTGATTTTGATTTAAACGAAATTTTATAATATGAAATATTTTACTTTAAAGAGGCCGTTAGAAATAAGGAGAATTAAAAGATTAACAAGGAGGGCATTTTTTACTCGAAAGATTATTATCAAAGACATTCTTTGTAAAATAAAAAAAAATATTATATCAAATCTCATAATTTAAAAATATTTTAAAATCTTCTTCGTAAATATATTACATTCTACCTCATTAATTTACAGCAAATAGCCTAAGGAGTATAAGAGAGATCCACAAGTACCAATTTAACTTTCTATGTGCATAGTATTCTCATTGGTAAATTGTATTTTAGTAGTCTTTAATAATAATTTTAAAATACTTGTAAGTTCTAATGGTGTCGTCGTCATTGATATTTTTAGCATTTATAAAATATTAGAGTGCAAATCTTTATTAAAAAAATAAAGATAAAAATGTAACACAAAAAACACATTATATGTTAAATTACTCCAATTTTTACGATGTAGACAAGAGCGAGTGGGTTGTTACAATAATTTAGGTCAAGCTTTCACATTTAGTGAGACAACGGAGCAATCTTTGTCACCAAATTAAATACAATATCTAAATAAACATTGATTGAAAATATTGTTAATTAATCATTAACATATACATAGAAAAAACCATTTTTTTCTCGACTTACAGTAACATAATATATACTCTACAAATTTCAGTTTTAACAGGTGTGCATTTAATCAAGTCATATCAAGTAGATTAACTAGCGCAATAGGTAGATTTTATGAAATGGACAATTCTCTCTTTATTTGTTTTAAAAATCATCGAAACAAATAAGAATGGAATTAATTTTATTAGATGCCACTTTTAAATTCGGATAGTATGGATTATGTTGGTATGAATTATGATGTTGATGTAGTAGGTAATTTAGGCGTTGGCCATGCCTTAGGTCACTGATCTTAGTATGGATGCATAATTATATCTATAAACATAAATTTTCCTTTTCAACCAAAAAAAACGTCATAACAAGTATGTTAGTAGGCCCGGTTTGTAGAGTAAATTTCTTAGATAATCATATCACCTATGGTTGGTGATAAAAATTGGAGCATAAATTTATTTTTTATTTATTTGAAATTAATACTTATTTATATAATATGAACAACATTCCATTTCATTATTTTATATTACAAAGATAGATTCATAATTTAATTTTGCAAAAGAAAACTCATATTTGACGTGCAGAGATTGTTTATACAATGTGAGAATCATATGAAAGAATAGTTAGTTATTGATATTGTTGATTTATTGGATCAAATGAATCTTTGTAAAATTATGTCTATTTAAAAATTGTAATATCATGTAATCGCAAATATATTTATTTTTTAAAGAAAACACGAAGATATACAATTTATTAATTATCTGACACCTTAGAATATTTATTACCTTGTTAATAAACTATATATGGTTTGCTTGGTGAGATTATAATAGTTTTGATAAATTTTGGGGGTTTTCATATTTATGGATTTTTTTAAAGAATTCTAATTGCATGTCAAATAAAATTGAAGTTTTTGCAAGAATTTTCCCTATTTTGGGTAGTTTTAAATATTTTTTCGATTCGATTTCCCAATAGATATTAATCCCAAAATTCAGCACCAACATATACAAGGAGGTGGATAGTCTTAATTATCTCTGCCTCCAAAATCATAGCTGCAAAATAGAACTATACCTAATTAAAATTATGTTCCAACAAATAGCATCTAGTAGCCTTTAATTGTCATCCTTAAATATAAATAATAGTTTTTATTTTTGCCTATGTTGGTCATTTAATAAAAAAAATTACAGCCAAAATACTCTTATATATGACCTAATTTCACAAGACAAAAAGCTTTTGCTTTACCCTACACAAATTGTGTAGTATCTTATTTACAAGACACTGTAAACCGACAAAAACTTTGTAAGAATAAACTATTACTCGATCGATTTTAAGACAACTTTATAGGTTCCGAAATTGAATGAATACTTCTATCAAAATTAAATTTTACATGAACTAAGTTATGTCTTATAATATGACATAAGTTACAAATTATGAACTTCTTAGGATATAAACATAATGTTCTAAAATTAGACTTATGCCTTTGTCGTCATAAGATCTAAGTTTCTCCTTTATAAAATCTTTTTACCAACCCTTTTTTTTGTTGTTTAGCTTATGATATATAGTTAACCAACAATCTTTCGCTTCTTTTTTTACAGAATAAATCTGAGAAAATGGTCAAATGTCCCCCTAATCTATTAGTCAATTCTCAACTACACATCAATACTTGGGTCACTATGAGGAGTAGGGTTTTTTTTTTTTTTGTAAAGAAGAAGAGAGTTGATACTCAATTGAAGAGTAGACATGGTGGTTATGTTTGGAATTGAGAATTTAACCAAATTAAAAGGAAAAAGTTAAAAAAGTGGGTCCATTAAATCTAAAATAAATATAAATAGGAATTTTTTTTTGAAGAAAATGGGCCCGCCTAGCGTGTGTGTACAAACATTTGGGTATATCTGGGTAATAACAAAAGATGAGCGTTTAAGGGTTACAAAATATCAAAAATAAAAGGTTCAGGGGGGTAATAGGACCCCCGTGAAGGGGGTAATAGGACCCCCGTGAAGGGGGTAATGGAAGAGAGTAACCATAATATATATATGGTTCTCTTTCTCAAGCTCAAAGAAACGCCCTTATTAAACCATTACATGAAAAGAAATAAATTAAAACAACATGTAAAATTAAACCATAAATCTCTCAAAGCTCATACTCCTCACAATCCATGAGATTCCATTTTCCATCTTCTTGTTTAACCATCCCATTGTGCTTCTCCACCCACCAAGCTCCAGGTACCAAATATTCATCTTTTAAGATGTCCCATATCCTGTTCACAAGTGCGAGATCGCGATTCACCTCTAGTTTACAACCATCTAAAGGTCCAATTCCTTGAGTACCATCAATTTCGTGAAAGTAACCTTCCAAATTATGCCTAGTGTGTGGGTCCCCAGGATTCAATTTCAAATAAGGGGATTTTGTGGTGTCAATTACTATTTTCTGTCCAACGTCGAAATACCCAATGGATGGGTATTTTGGTACAATATCTAATAAGTTATGAATTCTTATGATGTGAAGATGTTTCAATTTGTTAAATGCGTTAACAAAATTGAGACCTCCAACTTTAGGACTTGCGAATACAAAAGCTATCACTGGAAATTCCTTGACACTGCTTGTTTTGTTGATTCCATTGTAAGCTATGTCGACTGTATTTAGAGTTGCAAGTGATAATCACCCTGACCCCTAATTTCCTTGAGAATAGTATCCTGGATATGCATGGTAAATGATTTTCTTTTTTAGTTTTTTTTATGTCGTTGGATGGAAACAAAATTTATTTAATGTACAAATTACTTAAACAACTCAAAAATATACGGTGACAATAGCTGTAAAAAAAACATATTTATTACATTAGGAAAAGAGAAGGCATACTATAAATATGAAAGGTGTAGAAGATTATTAATGTCAAGAAACTATAGCTGACAATGACCAGAATACTGTGCATAATGAGAAACAAGATATTTAATTTTAAAATTTGATCATAAGTTAATGTTTTACGAAAATAAAATCATGATTTTATAATTTTGAATTTGTAGTATATTTTTGTTTTAATCTATTTGCTTTAGTAATATTAACTTATATTTTAACACTATATACCATTTATTCTTTAATTAAAATTGATAGATTATCTCTTTCTCAAATATTAAAAGAATTTTATGGTGTATATTTATTTATTTATTTATTTATTTTTAAATTCAAAATGGCTTATACTAATTATAGCGAAGCAAAATATCCAACTCTGAACTTGTTTTAAAAAGTTGATTTCACACTCAAATTAATTTAGCAACCTATTATACCACCCTAAATGTACTAAGTTAGTCCCATAATCTAATGTGATTTACACGCATCTGTCAAATCTTTGCAAGCTTATCCGTGTAATTTTTTTATTTTATTTTTTCTCAATCATTTTTGTTTTTATTGATACAAATATTAGTAAAGTCAGACAATAACTTTCTTCAATTTATTTTTTTCCAACCGCCATCCAAAAATTCAATACCATCACAATCTTATTGCGCGACATCTATCATCAAATATCACACGCTATTAAGGTCACCAAAAATCACCAAACATAACTACCTATTTCACCATCTGACACTCAAAGAACAATTATCAACATTTATTTACAAAGATCTTAGTCGAACAATTGACAATTTAGTACTCAATTTACTATCACTAATTTTGTGGAAAATTTAGAAATGATTTTCTTAAGAGAGAAAGAAAGATCTATGAAATTTTTTACATTAAAAGATTGGATTTTGTGCAAAATTCAAAAACTTTTTACAAAGAAAAGGAAAGGTATGGAAATGTTCTAACTTCATGTGTTCACAATCAATAAAAAAGATAAATAAATTGATGAATTTGATGATGGGAGTGGAAATAGTAAGAATTGATCAATTTTAGATGTCTCGTAGAAATCTTTTTCAACCAGCAAACCTAATTAATTGAACAACTTCGAAGATTTTTGTAGTGAATTTTGACCCTCGATATTGTTTTATGTTTCTCTCAAAAAGTTACCATGAAAATTTTTTTGTTTGTTTCATAAACACCATAGTAAATTGAGTGCTTGTGATAAAGAAAAAAAGAGGAAGAAATATAAGATGGCGTGAAGATGAAGGGGTGTATGTGGGGTTACTTTTACTTAAACACGCCTTTTTTATTTTGTATTTTATTTTATTTACACGTCAGCTTTGAGGGTGATATAAAATTCATTTTTGAATCGCCATGATAATCTAAACAAGTAACTCACTTCTCAAGACAAGTTCAAGGAAAAATTTATGTCTCTTTATTTTACTTATAATATTTACCGTTTTGTCAAACATGCATTTCATGATGTTGTTAAAAAATATGCACATTTTAGTTTTATATTTGAAATTTATATATTAATTACTTTTTATAATATTAGTTAAAAATACATGTTCATTAATTAATATATTTTCAATATATAGTATCAATCTTAGATACCTAATCTAATACTTTATTATGAAGGCACATATTCTGTCAAAATTAATTTAAATTTTTTAATAATCAACTCTTATTTTAAAATTTTGATTTAAATTGTCAAATATGCATTCCACTATATGTTCTTAAAAAATATGCACTTTCAATTTTTATGATTAATCAAATTAGAATATTATTCATTTGAAATCTACATATGAATTATTTTGTATACTAGTAGTAGTTAAGATTATAGGTTTATTGATTCATATATTTCCAGGAGACAATATCTATCTTATGTATGTAATTTAATCTCCATTTATGAAGGCACGTGTTTATTAAATATCAATATTTATTTTTTAATAATCAACTCTTATTTTAAATTTTGATCTAGCTAATTATACAATTATATTTATGTAATCAAATAGTACGCATATAGTTATACTGTGACAAATAAACAGGTCATCAAAATTATTATACTATATAACTATTTAATTGTGTAACTATTGCCTTAATAGTCATATCAATTTTATTTATCAAATGACTTTTCAAATCAAATTTATGTTGTAGCCCAACAAGCACACTATCCATCCTTCATAGTGAAACTTTGCCTTTATTAAAAGTCATAACATTTCATCTTATTTAAAAGTTTAAATTATTAAATGAATTTTACTTTTAATTATTAAATTATATATTTAATATGTTTTTCATATTCAGACGTTGAATTTAAAATTTTCATGGATCAAGATATTAATTGATGATGAAACTCAAATCTAAGAAGTTCACTTTTTTTTATATACTATGATAAAATATTTGACTATTTCATTTTAAAGCAGGGATTATTAAATAGAGAATATTACTATAAAATAAATCAGGCAGCGATTATTTTTTCATTGTTTAATGACAACATATTTGTACATAATTAATTCCTAATATATTTGTAGTAAGTAATTATAAGTGATAATATATTTTTATTTACTTAATTATTTTTAAATATAGACTTTACTATAGTAGATATTCTCATGAAGCACATTATTTGGGTCACTGTCAGAGACAATTTCTTGACATTGATTTTGACTAACATCTTTCATAATGAGAAAAATAATATTTTTGGTGTACGTCTTTGAATTAGCTACTATTAATAAAGAGTATTTCTTTTGTTGATATCAAACAACAAATAAATAAAATAAAATAAAATAAATACATATAAAAGATTCTAATAAACAAAGCTTGTAATATTTGATGAAGATCAAAAGGACCAAAATCACGTATAGGATCGGATTAGAATATTTAAGAACTTTTTAAAAATTTACCCTAAATATAAAGATCGTGTTTTAAATTTTCTTTGGCACGATTACTTTCACCATCTTATTTATTAATAATGATGAATAAATGGAAAAATATTCTTTTGACAGACGAAAAAGAGAAAAGAAGTACTCTGAATACAAAAAAATATTCATTCCAATTTCCACCTTAATTATTATTGATTTGGCATATGTACACTGAATACGTGAATTTCATCCATTAAAAGTAGACAACATGTTGTGGGGGTAAAACAATAATTTACTTTAAGGATGGGTATGATATGACAGGGGCGGATTTAAAGGTGTCACGTGACACGGCTTCGTCGGAAAATTTTATTAAATAAGTATAAATAACTAAAAAGAAAAAAAAATGTAAACAAAGAACAAATATAACAAAGTGACATTCCTTGTACCAAAAATGAGCGTAGCTAAGCTGGTTAGGGTTCTTCAATACATGCTGTATGTTGGAGGTTAGAACCTCAATAGAGCCACCTTTCCTTTCTTAGTTTAAATTTATTTCGCTACCCAAATCAAAATGCTAAATAATTCTTAATTTTTTAATATAATATTATATTTTTTGTTTCTTTATTTTTATTCTGAAATGTGATATTTAATTTTTTTAATTTAAATTTATTTCGCTACACAAATCAAAATGCTAAATAAATATTAATTTTTTAATATAATATTATATTTTTTTTTATTTAAAATATGACACTGCTTAGGAAGAATCCTGCGTACACCACTGGATATGATTTGTACAATGTTTAAAATTTCGATTCAATAATTTTATTTTATTTTTCCAAATGTTATATTGTTATTATATTAAATTAATTTGGTAATAATTTAATATTTTAAAGTTTGTTTTTAATATTTTATGAGCTCATAACTATAGTCTATTATAAAAAAATGTCTCAACTAAATCAAATGATTATATCATACTAATTATATATCTATTTATATATATATATATATATATATATATATATATAAATATATATGAAAATTATTTACATAACTATACACTTCGTTAATATATTCAATATTTCAATATTTTATTTATAAATAATGAATACTATATCAAATATAAAAAAAAATATTTAAATATATAGCATATAGGAATCACAATATCAATTTTTTTAATTCAATGTGATAATTCGATAGCTATTGTATTATACACATTTCTATTTATCTTAATTATTGATAACCATATATTTTTTTTATTTTTACTTGTCTGCTATTTCAAAAATAATTACTTGCCATTTTTAACATATGAAGAAAATACAATTTTTTTTCTTCATATTTTATCCTTAACAATAATTGCCTATTCTTTAAGTTATTTTTTTAAAACATAATATTAAACATCAATTAATAGAAATGGTATAGTAAAATAGTCATATCAATTATTATTTGGTGTCAAGTCGAAATATATGACAAATAAAAATAAATTTTAAAAAAATACTATGTTTAATGTACCATTAGATTTATACCTAACAATTAGTACTCATTATATTAATTTTAATACATCACTTTCAAACCAGCAATCAAAGACCCCAAATTAATGGCTCAAAGGCCGTGTGAGGGAGGGTAGGACAAAAAGCGACTTAACTTAATTTGGAAAAAAATAAATTCAAAAGATCTCCATCACCAAAAAATAATAATTTCACTAAATTATGAGCTAATTTATTCAATTATTTAAAAATATATATAAAATTAATGTAATTAAACATGTTTAAAAGTATCCAAATATCTTCATAAGTTACTTTAGTCTTCCGTCAACTTTTTGTTTGGGTAATTACTTGTTTGAAAGTAACTTAGCAACAATCAATTGTTTTCAACGAATTTTCGTATTTATTGAGTTTTTGTCTTATTCAGAAAGTTATTCCGCGATTTTTTTAGAAAATAATTTAGTAGTAGTACCTAACTCATATAGATTATTATTTTTCATAGAAACTAGACACTTGTATTATTGCAATAAAAAATTATATAGTTTAAACTTAAAATATATCCACAATATCATGTACAATTTAACTTAAGGAAAAATTTCTTTCTAGAAATTCCCTTCAGTGAAGAAATAAAAAAGTAAAAATTATGAAAGTGGTCATTCGATATTTTGCTTTATTAAAAAATTGATCTAATTATCAAAATTATCGAAATTGAACAAATACGTTCTTCTTCTTCCTTCCAGTTTTGTCATCAATAACTTATTTTCCCTTTTCTTCCTTCTTCATTATCATCTTCTTGTCTTCTCCTTTTTTCTTTTTCTTTTTTAATTCGACATATTAAAAACAATGAATCGTTTAGAGTGAACTATATATGATCAAAAGATTCAAAATATTGAGAGGATTTCATATTTAATTTTGTTGGACTGTTTAGAGGTGATTTTGAGTTGATCGATATTGAATAGTCAGTATATACTTTATGAATAGTCAATGTATGTTTCATGTATAATTAAGTTATATTCAATTTTTTTGAATGTATCATAATATACCGTCAGTGTATAGCTCATATATAGGTTAGCTATATTGTATAGTTAGTGTATATTTTTTTTATGACTTTTGGCAAGATATGTTGTATAATTCATGTATACTTTTTATGACTTTTGACTATTTTTATGCAAATAAAATATGACTATATATGTTATAAAATTAATTACTTTATTATATATGTTTGAAACCAGTCCAATAAATTGTTTAGTTAAATTATAAGCTATTTCATTCAAACATTAAATATATATATATATATATATATATATATATATATATATATATATATATATATATATATATATAAAATCAAACATGCTTGAAAGCATCTAAATATTTTCACACATCAATGCTATCTCCCATTAAGAATTTTTCTTAATAATTACTTATTTTGAAAGTAACTTTGCAACAACCAATTTTTTCCAACGTATTTCTGTAACATCTCGCAACTAGAAAGAACTAGAAGGAAGTTTAAAATCTGGAAATAGTTACTTTTGGAAAGTATAAGGAAATCTGAAAAATTTTAAGTTAAAGTGAATTTTCGGTAAACTTTAAACGACCATAACTCCTAGCTAAGGATGAGTTAGGTGTAGTTCCAAGATATGGTTGGAAAGCTTTTGCAATGATCTTTCCAGCGCCGCCAAATTTACGTGATTCCGAGTTCGTATGAGTGAGTTATTTCCTTTGGAAGTTGGGTTGTTCAAATAAGGAAATGCCCAATCCGGATTTTTGAAGGGTAGTTTGGTCTTTTCCTTACCCAATTAATTAAATCCGTTTTTAATAAAATAATTGGGGTCAAAACTGAGTTAGTTCAGTTACACTTTTGAGAAATAGAGTTAGGGCTTTCGGAGAAAGAACGCAAGAGAAAGAAGAGGAAAAGCAAGATTCGCCAAGAACGATTGATTTTGGTTGCGGATTCGCCAGGGAATTGACCCTACAAGGTATGTGAGTCTCTCATAGTGTTGGGTTCATTCACCCACGCGCCAAACATGTTTAGTTCAGCGAAATTCGTCCTAAAAGAGTTTGAAAGTTGATGTTCTTAACATAAATTCTTGAATTTGAATGTTGTTTTTGAATTGGGATGAATTGAGAAGTTTCTGAGTTCGTTACGTCGCATTATAGAGTAGTTTCGAGTTAGGTTCTTAGGTACATTTCCTAGGTATCTGTATCTAAAGGTAATTTGAGAAAAAGAACCGAGGTTGTGTGATTTGGGGCTGGAAAATGAAGAAGAAATTTCGTCGAACGAAATTTGAGTATGGGAGCACGTCGCGCGACCTGTTCACAGAATTGAAAAATTCTGCTCCGCTTTGCGAAGCTGACACGAGGTGTTTTGCCTCAAAAGACATTTTCGGAACCAAAATTTAATTATGCCTCCACGTCACGGACCCACCTTCAAATCTTGATTTTCGGTCTTTTCTCATGTTTAGCGATCTAAAATCATTCCTAAACAACATGAGATCTTTCCAAACACCAATCATAATCTTTCAATCCATAATTCAATTCAAGGATCAGTTAAGAGTCAAGACAAGAGCAATTAAGATCAAAGTCAAGAGAAGTCAAGAGTCAAGTAAGAGAAGTTCATTTCAAGTTTTCATAAGTCTTTTACAAACGTTCTAACTATGTTTTAAGACTTAAGTTTTGAAGTTGAGTAAAGAGTAAGAGCAAAGTTCATTTTCTTTAAAATGATATACGGGAACTAAGTATTTCCAAGAGTAAATGTTTTCACATTTAAGATGAGAGGAAACTGAGATTTCCAAAAGAGTTTTGAACAGCAAAAGGGAACATTGATTCCAAGAGAGCTTTTTAAGCTAAGTTTGAGCAATTATCTCAAACCGGAGAAGAAGTTGTTTTAAAAACATATGAGCTAAGTATATTTTGGGAGTAGTATTGAGCACCGATATGGGGACGCGAGTTTATATTAACTCAAGCCCCCAAAAACCATGTAGCCATTATGGGCAGAAAAAGGATCATACTTTTTAGATGATTCCTTAGTGCTTTTTAGCATAGACTAGTGGATCCACTTAGTAGTTCAGGTTCTATATCGATGGCAAGGTATAGGACGGTACTTGGCAACGTGAGGTAAAACGTTGTACCATCACTTAGGCTCATAGTGATGGTTGTCGGTTAGAGAATCTTCCACATAAGTTATATTACTTTCTAAATGAGTAAAGTTAAGTTTGTTATTGCTTTATCTTTAACGAACTAAGATTGTTTTCAGTTGTTTTATAAGCTTTATATATGTTGACACCCAATTTTGGACCTTCAAGATATGAATTAGTCACCGAGCCTCTTCAATTTCAAACGATTTGAAATAATTGACTTTTTAAAATTTAAAATATTTTTCAAGTTATTTTTATCACTTTTTATAATTTTTATATAATATATATGTTTATATAAATTTGTCTATAATTAGTATAGTTTATGAATATTCGAAAACCGTCTTAAAAAATTTTTGTTAAATTTTTGGTTAATTAATTTAGTTATATAATAGTTTATACTTTAATTTATTTAGTTTATAGTTAAGTTAATTATTTTATTTCGTTAACATTAAAAAGCTCATTGATTAATTTATATTAATTCGTTTTATTTAGGATTTAGCCGAATTTGTTAATTTAACTCAATTTAGCTATTTTTTTTTAAACTCCAAAATCTAACCAATCTATGACCAATGTTTTCACTCCTTATTGGACCATTTAAAGGACCAAGTTCTGGGCCTTTCTTGCCTCTTTTCAGCTGCCCAACAGACCCAATTTAATATTCCAACCCAAACCCAATTCTTCCAACAATACAACAATACAAAAAACAACCAGCAGTGCTCCAATACATACCTAACCCGACCCTGCACTGTTTTTCTTCCCTAGACGCGACCAAACCCAGAAAATTAAATCGCAACTCCAGCAAAGAACGCGACCCGACCCAGCTCTCGCGTCCCTCTCCCTCTCTCCTCACGCGTGTTCATCCGTACGCGAATCTTTCCAGATGTCTTTAGCTCCTCGCCTCAATCGTCCTCTGCTCGAATCGGACGGCTGCAATGCTTTTTCCGCTGAAGAATGGTACAAGAATCGTACTGTTCCGGCAGCAACCTTATCCTCTAGCAAGGATTCGAATTTCAAATTTCGAATTCAGAAGCTCCCTCCCATTTTTCCCTCTTAAACCGAGCCCCATTTTCCTCTTATAAATAGTCCATGTTCATCTTGATTGAGAGAGGGAGGATGGCTCATTTTGGGTTGGAGATAGCTTATTTTGGGTTGGAAAAAATATACATTGGAGAGAGCTGCCATTAGAGACGAAATTACAATAAAATTGCTAGCTATACAACTTTAAATAAAATACTTAAGGATGGACCTTGAAATCAAAGAGTGAGAGTTCAAATTTTTGTTCAGTCTTCTTGCTCATGTCTTGAACACGGAAGTTTCTCGAAATCATATTTCAGTGGTGGTGAAGTCGCTTCCATGCTCGTCTAGTTCCCGTTCGCTGCTCCGAGAAAGGTACAACTTTTTCAAATCTTGATTTGCTTAAGTTAAAATTGTTTTTTTTTTTTACTTTATTTGTTAGATGAACTTAGTATTCTCTTCTTTTAGTAATTTCATTTCTTTAAATTTAATTCTTCTAAATGCCCTATATTGTTTATTATGCTTTGTTAGTTAGTTTATGTTGTTGCTATAAATAAGAATGCCTTATTATGTGGATACTTTGATGTCATAGATGCTAAATGTGTTGTTACAAATTTTGCATTGAGAAATTGTAAATTTCATAATTTCATTTTGGTATCTTGGTTGTTTATGGAAGTTCTATCTTTTCAGAATTAATCCCCCTTCTCTGTTTCCCCGAGTTTTTTTTTTCTTCCAGCTTTCTCTTTAAGATTATAAGCTAAATTGTTTTGATTAAATAGAAATAAAAATGGTTGTTCTTTAATGTAAGTTTAATCTGCAAAGTTGTGAATAAATCATGCTGTTCTTCTCTGTTTTGGATTACCTGGTTCTGTAGCGAAATTTATAGTTAAAAAAATATATATATAAATATTGTTGCTTTATCTCTTTTCGATCTTGAGTCGCTATGTCAGTTCTTTCGGGTTCAGTTCAGATAGGTCTGTCTCTATGTTGGACCGTGGAAGCATAAATTGGTTGACTATAATTGTTTAAATGTTATTCCCTCAACAGCCTTTTTGCATTGTGTATTTATGTTTAGTAGCTAAATTTATTTAGTCTACTATTGCCTTTGTATTGCCTTCACTTATGTTACATTTTCTTTCTTTTTAGTTCAGGAAGTTACCTTAATTAAATATCATATCTCAGTTTCAATTAGTTACCATGGTCATCTCTTTCCTTTGAAAATATCTCTCTCTCTTTTCTGTTAAAATGCTTTAGCTTGTGGCTTTGATCTTTATTTCTTAAAAATGTGTTGTATGTTTGTCTTCATTGTGAGTTGATTACTAGACCATGTGTATGTGGGGACTTGTGTTTTCTTATATTTATTTTTGTCTATTTCTATATTTTATCTTGTCACTTAAGTTATTTCCCTTTAGGAAAATTCCCCTTAAATCCTATTCCCTTAAGATAATTATATAATAGTAATAAATAAATAAGTTAAAATAAATGAGTTCTTTTACTTAGTTCAAATTTCAAAATTAGTCAAAGTCATTATGGGTGCTTTTACTTAATTAAAATTTCAAAATTAGTCAAAGTCGTTATGAGTCCTTTACTTAGTTAAAATTTTAAAAAATAAAATTAATCAAAGTCATTTTAGTCAAATCGCCGGTTAACCGCAAGTTAGCGGGCATTTCGAGGGCCTAACACCTTCTCGGAAAGTACATTGAACTTCGAACCCTTTTATTTTCAATTGATTTTATCTGTTTGAGTCTTTTGAAAAGCTTAAATTTTTTCTTGATTTTTCTCTAAAAATTAAGTGGCGACTCTGTTATTTTGGAAATTTGATTTCTTTTAAACCATAAGTTTGATCGATTTTTTGAAAACTTAGTCATTTTCTTTTATATATAATTTCGAATAAAACAATATATATATATATATATATACCGCATGTGTTTTATTGCTTTATATTGAGTTGAGTATCCATGAGTTGAGAAAAGCCAGGTAGGTGTTTCTTCCATAATCTCTTTCAAGCCAATGTTTGTTAGCATTCCAACTCGCATACTCATACATTCAATGTATTGATGTCAGTTGGCCTGCATCTTATTATTATGTAGACGCAGGTAACCAGGATCAACATCTAGCGCCTTGTTGATCCAGCTTGAGCATTCAAAGTCTGTTGGTGAGCCTCCTTGAATTCAGGAGGAATCCTTATTTGCTTTCTAGTCTTTCAGATGTTAGGATGATCGGGGGTCCTGTCCCGACATCCCTCTTTGTTTTAGAGGCTTCATAGACAGTTAGTAGTTCAATAGTCTTTGCATTATTGTTCTTATGTTAAAGACTTGGGTTGCCACTTTTGGCCAAGTTGAATGTTTAATCTTTAAAACATTCTCAGTTATTTTATTATTCAGTTCAATTAAGTTCATTGATCATTATAGATATGAATATTGTCTTCCGCTTAGTTAAGTAAGCCAGGCCAGGGGTTCGTTTGGGGCCAACAATGGTCTTCGAGTGTCAATTCCGCCCAGGGTGTAGGCTCGGGGCGTGACAATTCCCATATTTATTAAGCCCTTATCTCATCCAAAAAGTTATGTTTCGATTCGTTAGATGCTCATGCTATGGTAGTACCTAACTCGCAGAAGACTACATTTTTATTTCTTCATAAAAGCTAGACACTTCGTATAACTACATCAAAAAGTTACATATTTTAAATATATTATATTCAATAACATCATATAACATTTAACCCGGGAAAAACCTCTTCGAGGAGTCAGCAAAAAATAAAGCATACAAATATTTCACACGTTACTTTTATCTCCAATCAAACTTTTCTTGGTAATTTTGGAGCAATTAATTTTTTTCAACTTGTTTCCGTGTCTATATTGAACTCTTATCTTATCCAAAAAGATAATGTTTGATATTTTAGAAAGTAACTTGTGAGCCTTACTGGATGGATGTTCTATTCAATGCTAGTACGTCTAACTCACAGACATCTATTTTTTTTTTACTTTTCAATTTAGTTTGCTTATCTGATTTTCATTTAAACGAAGTTTTAAACTATGAAATATTTTACTTTAAAGAGGCCGTTAGAAATAAGGAGAATTAAAAGATTAATAAGGAGGGAATTTTTTACTCGAAAGATTATTGTCAAAGACATTCTTTGTAAAATAAAGAAAAAATAATATTATATCAAATCTCATAATATAGAAATATTTTAAAATCTTCTTCGTAAATATATTACACTTCTACCACTTTAATTTACAACAAATAGCTAAGGAGTATAAGAGAGATCCACAAGTACCAATTTAACTTTCTATGTGCATAATATTCTCATTGGTAAATTGTATTTTAGTAGTTTTTAATAATAATTTTAAAATACTTGTAAGTTGTAATGGTGTCGTCGTCATTGATATTTTTAGCATTTATAAAATATTAGAGTGCAAATCATTATTAAAAAAATAAAGATAAAAATGTAACACAAAAAGCACATTGTATGTTAAATTATTCCAATTTTTACGATGTAGACAAGAGCGAGTGGGTTGTTACAATAATTTAGGTCAAGCTTTCACATTTAGTTAGACAACGGAGCAATCTTTGTCACCAAATTAAATACAATATCTAAATAAACATTGATTGAAAACATTGTTAATTAATCATTAACATATACATAGAAAAAACATTTTTTTCTCAACTTACATAACATAATATATACTCTACAAATTTCATTTTTAACAGATGTGCATTTAATCAAGTCATATCAAGTAGATTAACTAGCGCAATAGGTAGATTTTATGAAATGGACAATTCCCTCTTTGTTTGTTTTAAAAATCATCGAAGCAGATAAGAATGGAATTAATTTTACTAGATGCCACTTTTAAATTCGGATAGTATGAGTTATGTTAGTATGGAATTAATTTTACTGGATGTTCTATTCAATGCTAGTACTATCTAACTCGCAAATGTCTATTTTCTTTTACTTTTTAATTTAATTTGCTTATCTGATTGTGATTTAAACAAAGTTTTAAAATATGAAATATTTTACTTTAAAGAGGCCGTTAGAAATAAGGACAAGGTAAGTTTGAGTTAAAAAAGTTAATAATGAGGGCATTTGTTGGCTCGAAATAAGAACAAACTTTGAATTAAAAGATTAATAAAGAAAATAATATTATATCAAAACTCATAATTTAGAAATATTTTAAAATCTTCTTCGTAAATATATTTCACTCTACCACTTTAATTTACAACAAATAGCCTTAGGAGTATAAGAGAGATCCACAAGTACCAATTTAACTTTCTATATGTGCATAATATTCTCATTGGTAAATTGTATTTTAGTAATCTTTAATAATAATTTTAAAATACTTGTAAGTTGTAATGAATGTCGTCGTCATTGATGTTTTTAGCATTTATAAAATATTAGAGTACAAATCATTATTAAAAAAATAAAGATAAAAATTTAACACAAAAAACACATTGTATGTTAAATTACTCCAATTTTTACGAAGTAGACAAGAGTGAGTGGGTTGTTACAATAGTTTAGATCAAGCTTTCACATTTAGTGAGACAACGGAGCAATCTTTGTCACCAAATTAAATACAATATCTAAATAAACATTGATTGAAAATATTGTTAATTAATCATTAACATATACATAGAAAAAAAAACATTTTTTTCTTGACGTACAGTAACATAATATATACTCTACAAATTTCATTTTTAACATGTCACATGTGTGCATTTAATCGAGTCATATAATGTAGATTAACTAGCGTAGATTTTATGAAATGGACAGTTCCCTTTATGTTTATTTTAAAAATCATCAAAGCAGATAAGAATGGAACTAATTTTACTAGAAGCCACTTTTAAATTCGAATAGTATGGATTATGTTAGTATGAATTATGATGTTGATGTAGTAGGTAATTTAGGCGTTGGCAATGCCTTAGTATGGATGCATAATTATATCTATAAATAAATTTTCCTTTTCGACAAAAAAAAAAGTCATAACAAGTATGTCGGTAGGCCCAGTTTGTAGAGTAAATTTCTTAGATAATCACCCATGGTTGGTGATAAAATTTGGAGCTCAAATTTAAAGTTTTTTAAAAATTTGAAATTAATATTTATTTATAAAATATGAACAAAATTCCATTTCATTATATTATATTATAAAGAAAAATTCATAATTTAAACTTTGAAAAAGAAGACTCATGCTTGACGTGAAGAGATTGTTTATACAATATTAGGGGATTATATTAAAGAATAACTAGTTATCGATATTATTGATTTATTGGATCAATGAATCTTTGTAAAATTATGTCTATTTAAAAATTTGTAATAACATGTAATCGCAAACCTTTATTTATTAAGAAAACACAAAGATATACAATTTATTAATGTAATACCTTAGGATATCCGTTATCTTGTTAATGAACTATTTATGATTTGCTTGGTGAGATTATAATAGTTTTGATAAATTGTGGGGATTTTCATATTTATGAAGAAAAAATATTATTTAAAGAATTCAAATTGCATGTCAAATAAAATTGAAGTTTTTGCAAGAACTTTCCCTGTTTTGGGTAGTCTATAAAAAAAATTGATTCAATTTCCTAGTAGAGCTTGGATGTTGTATACTTGTATTAATCCCAAAATTCAGCACCTACATACAAGCAGGTGAATAGTCTTTTTTTTGCCTCCAAAATTATAGCTGCAAAATAGAAATATACCTAATTAAAATTAAGTTCCAACAAATAGCATCTAGTAGCCTTTAATTGTCATCCTTAAATATAAATAATAGTTTCAATTTTTGTCTATGTTGGTCGTTCGATAAAAAATTACTGCCAAAATACTCTTATATATGACATAATTTCGCAAGACAAAAAACTTTTGCTTACCTTACATAAGTTGTACAGTATCTAATTTGCAAGACACAATTTAAACTGACAAAAACTTTGTAGGAATAAACTATTACTTGATCTTAAGACAACTTTATAGGTTTCAAAATTGAATGAATACTTTTATCAAAAGTAAGTTTTACATGAACTAAGTTATATCTTATATAACATAATTTGAGGCTACGAGCTTTTTAGGGTATAACATTCTATTATAATAATTTTATAAATATGACATAAGTTGCAACTTATGAACGTTCTAAAACTAGACTTATGCCTTGTCGTCGTAAAGATCTAAGTTTATCCTTTTTAAATCTTTCTACCAATCCTTTTTTTGTTGTTGTTTAGCTTATTATAATTAACCAACTATCTTCCGCTTCTTTTTTGCAAAATAAATATTTTCCATTTATAGAGCTTTCATCTTTTCCTCTTAGGTTGTGTTTGGTATGAAGGTGAAAAGTATTTTTCAATTTTTTCATGTTTGGTTGGATTAATGTTTGGAAAATATTTTTTAAATCAACTCATTTTCCTCAAATTTAAGAAAAATGATTTCTCTTCCTATCAATCTCCTTGAGGCTTGAGCAACTAGCGAATTTATTTTTGTTTATTTAATATTAGAATTATATCAGTCATTTTTGTTTATTTAAAATGATAAAAGGATAAAAATTAAATATCATTCCGGAAAATAGAGGCTTTCTACAAAATGATCCAATAAAATTTTCAAGAGGGTGTTTGGATGGACTTAAAGTTGGTCAAACTTATTTTTAAGTCAGTTTTGACTTTTGAAAGTCCATCGCGGAGCCACATGTAGTTAAGGATTTTAAAAACTATTATTTTAAAGTCTATTCAAACGGGCTCTAAGTTATGACTTTTGACTTATTTTTATCATTTTAGCTTAAAATTAAATGGTTATAAATATTTACAAGTTAATTCAAATACTTTAAAAGTATTTAAAATTTATTTGGACTTAAAAATACTTGAAATAAGTTAATTTCAACATGCCATTGATGTTTGACCAAATTTTTTAGAAGTGTTTTAAATGTAACAACGTCATTTCATTAACCAAGCTTATAATTATAGATAATCCAAAACCACAACTTCAACTAACACATGAAAGAAAACATGTTGACATATATATATATATATCTATATATATAAAATAAGTCACAATGCAAATATATATAAGTATTTAGTTACATTGTAACTATTTTGTTAGCTTTCAACCAAAAGCAAACAAGATTTTTAGTTACATATTTATTATTTAGTTAAATAATAAATATGTCATTGTATGAGCTATTTATTACTCATTCCTTTTGAATTTGTTAATCTGATTTTGATCCGACACATAGTTTACGAAAGTAAATTAGATTTTGAGAAAAAAACATTAAGTGATACTTGAAGTTATCCCAGATTTTCAAAAAGACACCTTAACTTTGCATGCGTCCTATTACCCCACAAAACATTCAAAATCACAATAAATACAAATTTTTACACAACATTTCCACTTTGGACAAAAATATCCTTCGAATGTGCAATTTCTTAAAAACAAAAAGTCGGACCCATTATTGATGTATTGAAGGATGCTTTGGTAATTTCCTATAATGAATTCGTTTTGTTTGTTTCTTTTAAATTTATTTTACTATACTAAATAATTGTATAAAATATTATGAATCACGATAATTAATTACTTAAATATTTAAAAGATATAAAAATATATAAAAGATCTGATTGACTCTTCAAATTTTACCGGTGACACATAAATTGGGACAAATGAAATAATATATATTATTTGAAAATTTCTTAGAAAGTAGTATACATTACAATAATTAACAACTAGAAATATTTCAAAGACAAAAAAAATTGATTGAATCTCAAATTTTTTTAGTACTACATAAATTGAGAAAGAAGAAATGACCTATATTATTTGAAAATGGCGTAAAAACATTACAAATCATACAATAAGAATTAACAATTTAAAATTTTAAAAGACTTTAATGCTTTATACTTATTCTATTTCCACTTTGGACAAAAATATACTCCCAATATGCATATTTTTTTAAACAAAAAGTGGGACCCATTATTGATGTATTCAAGGATGCTTTGGTAATTTTCCTATGATGAATTCGTTTTGTTTGTTGTTTATTTTTTTTAAATAATTGTATAAAATATTATAAATCACAATAATTATTTACTTAAATATTCAAAAGATATAAAAATATGTAAAAGATCTGATTAATTCTTCAAATTTTATCGGTGACACATAAATTGGACAAATGAAATAATATATATTATTTGAAAATTACTTAGAAAATACAATAATTTACAGTAATTAACAATAAAATATTTAAAGACAAAAAAATTGATTGAATCTCGAAATTTTATTTGTACCACATAAATTGAGAAAGAAGAAATAACCTTTAATCAAAATTGCGTAAAAGATATTACAAATCATACAACAATAATTAGCAATTTAGAATGTTAAAAGACATAAAATTTTTTTACCATAGTTAACAATAATTAAAAATTTAAACTATTTTAAATTAATATTAAAATTTGATTAACCCTTTAATTTTGTCTTTGTCACATAAATTGAAACAAAAAAGATACATATTGGGCCCGTGCTAGCACGGGCTCCGATGTCTAGTATATATATATATATAGCAAATAGATTGACAATAAGCTTTATCGCCCCGCCGTGGCTCCTTTCAGCTTTAAGCGTACAAACGTTAATGCAACACACTCATTTTCCTTATTATATTCAGTTAGTATAACCATAATATATGTATATATATATATATGGTTCTATTTCTCAAGCTCAAGAAAATGCCTTTATTAAAACATTACATGAAAAGAAATAAATTAAAACGACACGTAAAATTAAACCATAAATCTCTCACAACTGATACTCCTCGCGATCCATGAGATTCCATTTTCCATCTTCTTGTTGAACCATCCCATTGTGGTTCTCGACCCACCAAGCTCCACGTACCAAATATTCATTTTTTAAGATATCCCATATCATGTTCACTAGTGCGATATCACGATTCACTTCTAGTTTAAAACCATCTAAAGGTCCAATTCCTTGAGTACCATCAATTCCATGCAAGTAACCTTCCAAATTATGCCTAGTGTGTGGGTCCCCAGGATTCAATTTCAAATATGGGGATTTTGTCACGACCCAAAAATGGACGTGATGGCACTCGTCTTAACCCACCAAGACAAGTCAGCCTAAAACTCAACCATTACAATAAAATGCGGAATTTTTTATAATAAACTCAAATATACCCCCCAAAATCTGGTTGTCACGTGTACAAGCCTCTAAAGTATTACAATTGAATCAAAAGAAAACTACAAGTCTCATATGACATTGTTGCTAGAGTAGAACAAGATCATAAACAGGAGTAAGAAGGATCGCTGAGAAGACAAACAACTACCTCACAAATCTCCCAGAAGCCGTGGAAAAGAAGAGAATGACAAGTACCACAAAAATCCAGGCTCGTAACCTACAAAAATTTGTAGAAGCAAGGGGTGAGTACCAAACCACACGGTACTCAGCAAGTAAACCTCTAAACACGAGCTAAGGGGATAGAACACAAGTACTCCTTACACCCCCAACCGAACCTTCACAACTACAATCTGCTTAGTACCAGCCCAACATAACAGTTCACAGTTTACAAAGCACATAGCTCAACACAACACTCTAACAATTTCATATCCTCAACAACAACAATAATTTCATATCCTCAACAACAACACTCTAACAATTGCATATCTTCAATAATAAGCCCAATATTCATCAGTCACAAGTTTCATAGAAAGGCACTCGCAAGATCAGCAACACACAAGATCAAGTTCACCAATAATAAAAAAATGCAATGCAATGTCAAGTATAGTGATGTATGTCTGACCTAGTGATACACACCTGCTGTCTCTCAGTCCGGGACCCATGGGGGACATATCTGTCCATGCAACCATCGCGGCGCGCGATACGACCCTCGATAATAGTAACCATCGCGGCGCGCGATACGTCCCTCGAAATATAGTATCCGTCGCGGCGCGCGACACGTCCCTTGAAATATAGTATCCATCGCGGCGTGCGATACGTCCCTCGAAATGATACATCCTCTTTATTTTCTTATTCTTTCTCAATGCACATAACACTTGTCACAACCATGTCTCAGAACAATACAAATGACATGTTCACACAAATAATGAGGAGATGGCCATTTTTATAACATTGCACAATTCACAACAAGACAATCAGGATACAACATCAACAATGATTCAACAAGCCTTTCAAACAATTCTCAACACATCACACAAACAATTGATCACATTGCCTTTTATTATCCCTTTTTCATCATTAGAATTAATCAATGTGGACAAGTCAACCCATCACCAAGCCTCGTTACCCTAAACACATATTACAAGGAAATACATGAATTCCATACACTTAACAAGGGTTTAGAAATCCACTTGCCTCAAATAATCGAACAATCACTCCGGGAGCCTTCCCTTTTCGTTGAACTTCTAACTCAAAGCAATCTAGTCAAATAATTAACCACAATAAGATTTCAAAACTAACAATATACATGTTACTATAGGTCTAACCTAGACCCAAAAACTCATCCCCATTCTATAATCAAGTTAACATGTAAATTCTCATATTTCCAAATTTCAAGTCTAGGGTTAAGTTTTGATTCCCTCAAATAGCATAATTTTAATGGTATCCACATACTACAATACACCTAATATGTAATTAGGTATCTCAATATATTAAAATCTTGATCACAATATGCTAACCAAAAATAAACATAGAAACCAACTTGTTACGGAAGATAATACGCAGAACCTAAACTAGCTACAACCTTTATATTCCACTCATTATTATCTCATCATTAATTTCCTCATCATTACTCATCATGAAACATCAATCCACTGCCATAAATACATACACCTAATCAAAAATAATTTACATTACAATATCTCCAATATTCTGTAAATATTCGACTATTCCAACCTACCAATTTAATAATTAATTAAACTCTTACTCCTAAAACTAGAACATACGAATTAGAGATGAAGATTAGTTAGGCGAATTCTTGTTTTACCTGGAGCGAGAATGCTTTCCTGTGGCGCCGAATTATGCCTCTGCTTCTATCATAAATATTTTTCTTTTCTTTGTAGTTAATAAAAACTAAACCCCAATCTACTTTAATTCATTCTCATACATGGGCCAAATGGGTATATGATATTAATAAAATTATATTCTTGGCCCATTAATTACTAATTAAAATAAATTATTTAAAATTTCTCATAAATTAATAACCATAGTTAAACAAATAGTCCAAAATTTCCAAAAATGACCTTCCGGGTCATTACATTATCCACCACTAAAAATCATGTTCGTCCTCGAACATAAAGAAGAAGGAAGGACACTGACATTACCAAAAGTTTGATGTATAATTTTCAGAGTCAATGTTTATCTCTCCAAGTGAGCTCATCCTTAAGACCATCCCATCAAGAGCAACTACTAAAAACTGAACTTTCGAATCAAAACAGATCCACAAATCATGAGTGATTATCCAACACTGACTAACTCATGAACCCAATCTAAAATGAAACTTATCGTACCATAACACGACCATCATGACGAATCTTTTATCATATAACCAAGATAACATTTTGAATCATTATTGACTACAACCAGAAGTGAGCCTGAATCAACCACCAGACACTCATAATGCACATACAATCACATATCTTGTCATAATTCCCTTTTCACAACACACTCTTTTCATAAGCTTAAGTTATAAAAATCTGATCTTTAGACATCGGGTACCCATCAAGGGAGAATCAAACATATCTAATCCAAAGAAGAACAAGATCAAGTAAGCACCCAACAAGTGGTACACTATAGCATGCAGAACCTTTAACAACACTGTCGGATAACTGTAACTATTCACAAAAGCTCTTCTATAAGTTCTCATAAGCAAGGTCGTGCATACAGAACCAATGGTAAACTTCTACTTTTCCAAACAACACCAAATATGCCACAACCGAAGTGAACAAGTCTAACCAAGGATGCCACCCTACCAAGAGGACAATCACAGGATCGGTACACCCGATCCACCACTAGGAATTCACCCATGGATATGAAAACACGTGTGGGTATAGGTAACAAATCACACTCCAAACCATATCCAACACGAACTAGATGGTCATATAAGAATATACAGAACCAAAGTCGAATAACACTAGATATTTCTTCCGTAGTGCCCATATCAAACATTTCCATCCATCTAACTCCATCTCCTTAATTTTTAGCCACCCACAATCAATTAGTCTAGTCTTCATTACAATCGTAAATATTACTTGATTCATTGAATCCCATAAGATCTTCACAATACTCCATTAAAGTCAACACTCCTAATACTAACAATTCATCATAACTACAATGATCATTTACCTTACTCTCAAACTGTTACTAGTATCAAAGTCTTTTAACAAACACATTATCACCTCCAAAATTTTCAAACTATGGCGCTCTCTCTTTCCAAATAAGCATTTTATGATAAATATAAGTCCCGCACAAGGCTGATAGCACTAATTTTAAATTTGATAGTACCTTTCCATAGAGATAAAACTATTAAATCACACCCAAATTCAACTCCACACAATCTTTCACATACCAAGTTTCAATTACCATTCAACCTATCATATACCTCATGTTAAAACTTAGAGAAATTCTTGGTCACTCTAATAATTTGGTATACTATAAGCTCATAACCTCTACTCACTATCAAATGCCTATGTAGCACATCATAACTGTTTGTATCGTCCCATCAATCCCCTCGAATCCTCATTAATCATATAAAATTGTAGGTCCACACCGTTTAATATCCATAAGTTACCTATCATATTTTGAACAATCTAGATCGACATAACCACATAGAATCTTCCACACATCATTGCTTGTAACCCAAACCAAAACTCCATATTTATAAAAGTCGATGATAAAATCCTAGTAAGTCTATACCGAACCAATTCACATCCATAGTCATATTAGAACTTACATATGAAAATTCTTACATCCTTCAACTCCGAACCAAAGTCTATATGAGAGGCCTTATTCCTTCACATCTCTTAAATTCTTTCTATCACACAAATTTTAAATACCTTGAACTCTTCAATACACCAGACTCTTTTTCCTTTCGCTGACTTGCTTACCAATCTTATCATTTGACCAACCACCTATGATATTTTACCTTCTACTTTAAACCAAAATTTTAAGAGAAGTACTTTCTTAGGCCCTTCAAAATCAAAATTAACAATCTCTACGACTCAAACCCTGCATATGTTCTTTCAAATGCTCAATACTCGATGTGATCGATCATTTCTTACTTTACCAATTCATATCTTGACAAAACATACTACCACGAACATAGACTTGCAATGAAAAACTTGAATTCTGATTCTAATTGTGCCAGTTATCAAACTCAAAAACACAAAAACATTTATTACCACTCTCAAATCGAACATCTATAGATTTCTTTCTCAAATTTTATCCAATCGTTTAAACCAATATGATTAACCCATGACACTATTACCATGACCTGAGCAAAACGGTTGAAACCACGTGTCTCTGAACTCAATTCTCAATCCCTCTGAAGATACCTCTTTACCCCTTGCAATTAGAGAAAATATTCGTACTCTCAGCTCTTTTCGAAGGCTACACTAAATCCCACTAAAAAAAATTTCATTTGTGACTCTAGTTCATTTCAATTCTATTCCAGTGGTGTCCTATAACTTTTCATGCAACCACGTTACTCATCAAATAGTAGTAAACCAAAACATTAGATACTCACAAGTCGTCATTACCATAAAAAAAAATCCATTTAACCAATAATTTTTATCATATAGTTGCATCCTAATCAAAATCCATCACGAACTCTTATTATCATCATGCTCAGTTAGCTCTTGTCATCACTACGAAGCCAAATTTTTCATCAGTATGACATTTTAAACCAAGTTATACCAATCAAATTCAAAGGACTAACCCACTTTTATATGCACTATTTACTAAAATTTTCAATTACCTTCACACACATATACTATTTGGGACTTCCTTTACCCATAAACTTGTCATTCTAGTATATATCCATTCCCTTGGACCTTAAGATGAAATAACCAGCCCTCATTTGAAACCCTCATGATACACTTCTCAACTTAACACATTAATACCTATCAACGATCCACCACTAAAATCTTCCTTATACACACTGCTTAACCCCAAACATCTGCAGTAACAACCTAATTGGATTCTCAAATATGAATGCAACATCGAATCTCATTATACGAGCATGTGATACAACTGATAACTCTTCAAGTAGTTAGTATCCACACTTGACAATGAACGTATTCGTTTCCATGTACCACTAGTACCACATCATGTGAGTCTGTTAGATCCACCACTAGAACACATCACGCCCCTCAAGAAGATTGTACCCAAATAGCCCACACATTTCTATCCATTGAATAACTGCAATACACTACCAAATCCGTTTTGTATATAGCCCAAGCCATATGTATTCTTCTGTAGGTCAGGTCAATATCAAAAGTAACACACTTTATAACTCTGACCAAGTAAGCATCAATACTATTGTAGTAGTTGTATCATGGCCTTCTTTGATATACACACAATATATGAAGTCATAGTAAAAGCTCTGACCTCAACTAATGCAACATCAGTTTTCATTAATTGCTAAGCAACCCATACATGTTATCACAACTTTACTAACTATAGTTTCCAAAGTTACATGTTCATTACCTATCCATCCTTTTAATCATTCCACTTCCATTATCAAACTAATCAAGATATTGCCTATACCACACAAGTACTATTCTTTTTATTGGGGGTAACCAACCAAAAATAAACACATTCATAAAATCCCTCAAACTATTGTTCAACCTCATCATTCGAATATCCTCAAACTGTTTCGTCAAGTCATTACCTAACTAAATCTATTCGAGTCGTTGGACATTTTAAATCTGACAACATATCCTTCCCACAAGTCTATCACTCCCACATTTGTAACAAATCTAACATCCAAGACAAATACAACACACCAAATACACACATCAGGAACTACGCACGAGTCATCATATAAATGAGAGTGAATGGAGTGAAGCGATGATAATCAAAATTGGACCAAGTACGCACGATAGAGATCTAAGAAGTGAAGATATTTCCTAAAAGTCACCATAGCCTCTCGAAGATAAGTACAGACGTCTCCGTACTGATCCTCGAGACTCTACTTAGACTCGACTTGTATACACGTGAGACCTATGAACCTGGGGCTCTGATACCATTTTGTCACGACCCAAAAATGGACGTGATGGCACTCGTCTTAACCCACCAAGACAAGTCAGCCTAAAACTCAACCATTACAATAAAATGCGGAATTTTTTATAATAAACTCAAATATACCCCCCAAAATCTGGTTGTCACGTGTACAAGCCTCTAAAGTATTACAATTGAATCAAAAGAAAACTACAAGTCTCATATGACATTGTTGCTAGAGTAGAACAAGATCATAAACAGGAGTAAGAAGGATCGCTGAGAAGACAAACAACTACCTCACAAATCTCCCAGAAGCCGTGGAAAAGAAGAGAATGACAAGTACCACAAAAATCCAGGCTCGTAACCTACAAAAATTTGTAGAAGCAAGGGGTGAGTACCAAACCACACGGTACTCAGCAAGTAAACCTCTAAACACGAGCTAAGGGGATAGAACACAAGTACTCCTTACACCCCCAACCGAACCTTCACAACTACAATCTGCTTAGTACCAGCCCAACATAACAGTTCACAGTTTACAAAGCACATAGCTCAACACAACACTCTAACAATTTCATATCCTCAACAACAACAATAATTTCATATCCTCAACAACAACACTCTAACAATTGCATATCTTCAATAATAAGCCCAATATTCATCAGTCACAAGTTTCATAGAAAGGCACTCGCAAGATCAGCAACACACAAGATCAAGTTCACCAATAATAAAAAAAATGCAATGCAATGTCAAGTATAGTGATGTATGTCTGACCTAGTGATACACACCTGCTGTCTCTCAGTCCGGGACCCATGGGGGACATATCTGTCCATGCAACCATCGCGGCGCGCGATACGACCCTCGATAATAGTAACCATCGCGGCGCGCGATACGTCCCTCGAAATATAGTATCCGTCGCGGCGCGCGACACGTCCCTTGAAATATAGTATCCATCGCGGCGTGCGATACGTCCCTCGAAATGATACATCCTCTTTATTTTCTTATTCTTTCTCAATGCACATAACACTTGTCACAACCATGTCTCAGAACAATACAAATGACATGTTCACACAAATAATGAGGAGATGGCCATTTTTATAACATTGCACAATTCACAACAAGACAATCAGGATACAACATCAACAATGATTCAACAAGCCTTTCAAACAATTCTCAACACATCACACAAACAATTGATCACATTGCCTTTTATTATCCCTTTTTCATCATTAGAATTAATCAATGTGGACAAGTCAACCCATCACCAAGCCTCGTTACCCTAAACACATATTACAAGGAAATACATGAATTCCATACACTTAACAAGGGTTTAGAAATCCACTTGCCTCAAATAATCGAACAATCACTCCGGGAGCCTTCCCTTTTCGTTGAACTTCTAACTCAAAGCAATCTAGTCAAATAATTAACCACAATAAGATTTCAAAACTAACAATATACATGTTACTATAGGTCTAACCTAGACCCAAAAACTCATCCCCATTCTATAATCAAGTTAACATGTAAATTCTCATATTTCCAAATTTCAAGTCTAGGGTTAAGTTTTGATTCCCTCAAATAGCATAATTTTAATGGTATCCACATACTACAATACACCTAATATGTAATTAGGTATCTCAATATATTAAAATCTTGATCACAATATGCTAACCAAAAATAAACATAGAAACCAACTTGTTACGGAAGATAATACGCAGAACCTAAACTAGCTACAACCTTTATATTCCACTCATTATTATCTCATCATTAATTTCCTCATCATTACTCATCATGAAACATCAATCCACTGCCATAAATACATACACCTAATCAAAAATAATTTACATTACAATATCTCCAATATTCTGTAAATATTCGACTATTCCAACCTACCAATTTAATAATTAATTAAACTCTTACTCCTAAAACTAGAACATACGAATTAGAGATGAAGATTAGTTAGGCGAATTCTTGTTTTACCTGGAGCGAGAATGCTTTCCTGTGGCGCCGAATTATGCCTCTGCTTCTATCATAAATATTTTTCTTTTCTTTGTAGTTAATAAAAACTAAACCCCAATCTACTTTAATTCATTCTCATACATGGGCCAAATGGGTATATGATATTAATAAAATTATATTCTTGGCCCATTAATTACTAATTAAAATAAATTATTTAAAATTTCTCATAAATTAATAACCATAGTTAAACAAATAGTCCAAAATTTCCAAAAATGACCTTCCGGGTCATTACAATTTTGTGGTGTCAATTATTATTTCCTGTCCAACGTCGAAATACCCAATGGGTGGGTATTTTGGTACAATATCTAATAAGTTATGAATTCTCATGATGTGAAGGTGTTTCAATTTGTTAAATGCGTTAACAAAATTGAGATCTCCAACTTTAGGACTTGCGAAAACAAAAGCTGTCACTGGAAATTCCTTGCCATTGCTTGTTTTGTTGATTCCGTTGTAAGCTATGTCGACTGCATTTAGAGTTGCAAGTGATGCACCTAGGCTATGTCCAGCCACTGTTATACTGACCTCGTCGTCTTTGTATTCTTCAACCAATCTTTTCACTTCTTCAATTACCTGAAAACATGATTCCATATTTTTACTAATTTATTTATAGTGAGACACTTTAACTAACTGTCATAATTTAATATGTACGTACGTACCTGGTCTCTAGCACTCGCTTGATTAAACTTTGATCGTGCACTTTCTGATGTATAAACGTTGTAGAATCCATGATGCACCAATGGTTTGAACAAAGGAAGTAAACCCCCATCACCAAACACTTTTGGTCCTGGAATTTGTAAAAATTGAAGGTCATTAACCCACTCCAGTAGATGATTTTATTTATTCATGTTTTAGTTACTTGATGACGGTAGATAGCTAGATACCTACTTTTAGCAGTACTAATTCATACCTACTCGCCAATTATATATTTCTCCCTAATTTATGTATCTTATTTTTCCTGCTTATCTGATTCATTAACACTTCATATTTTAAATATTAAATTAACAAAACATAAATAAATTGGGAGATTTTGAAGTAGTAACTTCTTTTCGTTTTTTTTCTTGTGTTGCTGATGAAAGGGGTATGTTTGTCTTACTGAATTTGGTTGGTAATTACATTTTTTTTAATTCGTCGTCCATTATTCGTTTGGGAGTTGATTAAATTTGAATTCATGCCAAGAAGTTTTATATAGAAAGTAAAGTGTTTCTTAGCAAAATATATTTTATACTTAGAACTCAAAAATAAATTTCTAATTTAATAAATGAAGAAATACTCATCATTTTGCAATAATTTTCGTGAATAAAGGGGTGTAATTTTCTATCTAGAACTGTTGTTTGATCTTTTTATGTATTTTTTTTTAATAATTATATTTAATAGAATATGAGCCAAAAGAACATTTCAAATGGACTAACCTAATGTAGTGTTTACATTAAATAGTGAGCTTCAAATCTCAATATTTGGAAACTTTTTTCATAGTTTAAAATGAATTATTTTAAAGTCTTAAAAAAACTATTGATTTTTTTTTCATGTTTACTTTTAATTTTATATTTTCTAATAGAACAACTTGAAGATAACAAAAAAAATAATAGTGAAAAAGGGATTACGTAAATTTGAAAAACATATTTTTATACATTTTTTCATATTTACTTTTATCTTTGCATTTTTCAATTTATATGATAGTACATTTTTAGCTAGTCACAAAAAAACATTTTTTTTTTTATATTTGATAGTAATTTAACTTTAAAATATTGTTTTATCCTTTAAATATACCATATATTTTATTTTTTTAAAATCTTTGTAAATTACATATTCAGTCAAACAACATCTATGAATTGGGTGTGGAGTGAATAGTCAATACTTTCTCCATCCCATATTAGTTAATCACCTTACTATAAATAATTGTTCCATATTAGTTGATCATATTACTAAATCAAAAGAACATTAATTAAGGGTGTGTTTGGTATGAAGGAAAACATTTTCCAATTTTCTCATGTTTGGTTGGGTTAAATGTTTTGGAAAATATTTTCCAAATCAATTCATTTTTCTCAAATTTAAGGAAAATGACTTCCCTTCAAAACTTAAGGAAAACATTTTTCAAAACTCTCTTCCAACTTCAATTTACAATTATTTTTTATTGAAAAAATCAATTAATTTGTCCCTACATTCAAACCAGCCCCCCAAGCCCCCCCCCCCACCCCCCCCCAAAAAAAAATAATAATTTTAAAGCTTGTTTCTAAATTCAATTTTTTTACCCCACCCCCACCACCACCCCCTACCACCACACCTCCCAAAAAAAATATTAAAAGTTGTTTTTAAAAGATATTTCTAATTTCAATTTTTTAATTTTTTACCACCATCCCCTACCCTCACCCTCCCCCATCAGCCCCCCACCCCCTTCAAAAAGCAAAAAATTTAAGTTTGTTTTTAAAAAATATTTTCAACTTCAAATTTTTATTTTTTCACCCCGATCATCGACCACCCACCCCCTATTCCCGGCCACCCCCCTCCCCCCCCAAAAAAAAATTTCAACTTCAAAATTTTATTTTCACCCCTACACTCGACCTCCCCCACCCACCCCCTACCAGCCCCCCACCCCCCAAAAAAATTTTAAGTTTTCTTTTTAAAAAACATTTTCAACTTCAAAGTTTCATATTTTCACCCCTACCCTCGACCTACCCCCTACCCAGCCCCCCACCAACCCCCCCCCTACCAACCCCCCCCCCCCCCTCCTCCACCACCCAAAAAAAATTAAGTTTGTTTTTAAAAAATATTTTCAACTTCAAAATTTCATTTTTTCACCCCTACCCTCGACCCCCTATCCCCTACCAGCCCCCCACCCACTCCCCTACCAGCCCCCTACCCACTCCCCTACCATCCCCCACCCCTCAAAAAAAAAATTAAGTTTGTTTTTAAAAAATATTTTCAGCTTCAAAATTTCAATTTTTCACCTTTACCCTCGACCCCCCCCCCCTCCCCCCCCCCCCCCCCCAAAAAAAAAAAAACAAATTAAGTTTTAACTCGCCTTATCACATCATGCATGTGAAATATATCTAACATATGAGTAAATAATAAATTTGATTGAGTTCTTTTTAACGATAGTCATAAATGATGTGCTAAAGGGTCTGAAATTTAATCAAGTACAACATTTAAATAGCCCTTCTTAGAAACATGTATACAAAATTAACAAAAACAAGTTTAACTTAAGGTGCAGAAAGTACAACTTAATTACAACACACTCATATGTATTATTGCATATGATGTGTTCGTAATAACCCTTTTATTCAAACATTACATGGAATTAAAGAAATAAAATTAAAATAGCAAGTACATTAAACTCCAAATTAAATTAAACCTCAGCCACAACTATGTCATACTCCTCTCGATCATTGAGAACCCATTTTCCATCTTCTTGTTGAACCATTCCTTTGTTCTTCACAGTCCACCAATTTGCTGGGACAAGATACTCACTTTTCAATGCACCTGAAGATTTGTTAACAAGTGCGATATCGCGATCCACCTCTAGTTTAAAACCGGTTAAAAGTCTTATACCTTGAGTTCCCGCAACTCCATGCATGTAACACTCCAAATTATGCCATGTGATGATATCTCCAGGGAGATTTAAATAAGGGGATTTTGTGGTGTCGATTATTATTTCCTGCCCAACGTCGAAATATCCAATAGGTGGGTATTTCGGAACAATATCCAATATGTTATGAATTCTCATAACGTGAAGGTGTTTCAATTTGTTAAATGCGTTTAAAAAATTGAGATCTCCAACTTTAGGACTTGCAAATACAAAAGCTGTCACTGGGAATTCCTTCCCATGACTTGACTTGTTGATTTTATTGTAAGTTATGTCAACTGCATTCAGAGTCGCAAGGGATGCACCTAGGCTATGCCCAGTCACAGTTATGCTCACCTCTTCATTCTTATATTCCTCGACCAATCTCTTCACTTCTTCAAGGACCTATACGTAACGTAACGCGATACTTCGATGCATCAAGGCCAACATTAGAAAAAAGATTTTCCATCGAGTATCTGCTAGCTCCGGCATATTTAGATACTTTATCAGAAATGAAGGTGTCGTAAGTCACTTCAGCTTTTTCTCCATATTGAATGATATATTTACGAAGATCAACATCCAATGGATTTAATAGCCCATCCCAATTGTTTTTCCCACTAAGTTCCTCCCATTTCTCAGCCATGCTAGACATTTTTTTTTTCTTTTTCTTACTCTTAGTTTTTTCTTGGTATGTGAAGTACTTTGTTGATCTCTAAGGTTTTTCAATTTTCATGCATGAAACACGTTTTTATTTTTATTTTTTTAATTTTTGTGAATTATTGTCATAGTCCAGTAATAAATGATTTAACCAAGAAAGCATTAAAAATAGTACTAATAAAATAATGATTTCCATATTGAATTTCTGAACTACTACCACCATTAGCATTTCGCTGTTTGGCCATATGAAGAACATTTTGGCATATTTGAAATAATATATAGGGAGTATTAACTTCAAACTTCAAATATAGAATTAAATTGCATCAAGTTTTAACTTGCAAAACTTCAACTTGGTCTGTTTTACCAACAAGGTTGTGGCGGAGGGGTAATTACTTCTCCATCTTTAACCAGATGTTTCGGGTTCGAGTCCCTCTAGGAATAGAGTCACTTTGTGAACTTTTAGGCGGGTATCCAAATTTAATCGAGCTCCATTATGAGTATTGAACATTGAGTGGGAAACTGTGAGTATCGGCACTTAGGTATTAATTTATCCTTCCTTAATTTATGTTTCTAATTTGTTTTAATACAAAACTTAAAGTAGATGATAGAGCTTTGTATTTTTATTTATATGTAAATAAGGGATTCGGCTCCTCTCCATTTTTTCCAAGTTCTTGCTTGGATATGAGACATATGACATAGGTAAAAACTAATGGTTAAGATTTAATTGAATAAACATAAGATTTTATTTATGATTTAGATAATTAATACTTCATAAGAAAAATGTCAAGACCACAATCATAATAATATATTATCTTGTCCATAAATATATTATTTCTTTTTCTGACTAGTATTATCTTCTGTTTTTGTCCATAATTATGTTATAAAATTATTTCTCTTTTTCTAATTATTTTTTCCCTGCGAGTATTTTTTTCTATTAATTATATGTAAACTAATTTCAAAGAGAAAGTTCAAAGTTGTTTTCTAAGACTTACTCATTTTTATTTTAAAAAACAAACGGAAGATAAATACTCGTAGGAATTTTTTTTAGAAAAGAGAACAATTTTTATAATTTATTTATGGACAAGATATTATATTTTTATGACTTATGATTATGGTATTAATATTTTTTTTATGAAATGTTAATTATCTAAATCATAATTAAAATATTATTTTAATCTATTAAATTTTAGTCATTGATTTTTATCTATGTCATGTGTCTCACATCCAAGCAAGAACTTGTAGAAAATAGAGGAAAGGGAAATAGAGAGGAGCCGGATCCGTAAATAAGCTACTTATTGAATAGTTTGAATTTGTGAGGGGAAAAGTAAGTTCCAAATTACATACTATTTGACAATAGAATAACGAAAATCATATAATATAGGTGGATTTCATCACTTTATTAATGCATTGGTAAGATACACCAACCAACTTGCTGATTGTTTTTTCCGACTACCTAAACTTATTACTTAACAAATTTCATTTTTAACTTGCGTGCATTTTAGAATATTTGATAGAATGATTTTCATTAGGCGCGGTTAAAATTAAATTATAATTGATAATTTAATTTAGATGTATTTATTGGGTTGGATTATCGAATTAATGATTTGAAAGAGACAATTCTTAAACAGAGAAAAAAAAAAAGATAGTCGGAAATTTTATATGTTAACCCATTTGTCTAAATTCTTATAAATAATGAATTATCAATTTAAGAACCAACTGTCTAATTTTATTTTTATCGAATTAATAATATGTTAACCCATTTTACTTGTCCCTGTCTCCTCTCCCACTCTAAATTTCTTTAATTTGCTTCAAAACATCTATCATCAATTGCTACTGATCACTCCAATTACTATTGTCATTGTCTATATATATATATATATATATAAATTACTCTTCCACTGATTTTATTTCTATACTATATAATCGATAATCAATGAATAATCATTAAGCCAAATATAAAATTAATTAATATCTTATTGATTCTGTAGAGATTTAGCACATATGAAAATTAATAATAAATACAAGAATTATTAAATATAAAAATCAAATTAAATCATAAGATAATCACCCTGACCCCTAATTTCCTTGAGAATAATATCCTGGATATGCATGGTAAATGATTTTCTTTTTTAGTTTTTTATGTCGTTGGATGGAAACAAAATTTATTTAATGTACGAATTACTTAAACAACTCAAAAATATACGGTTGACAATAGCTATAAAAAATATATTTATTACATTAGAAAAAGAGAAGGCATACTATAAATATGAAAGATGTAGAAGATTATTTATGTCGAGAAACTATAGCTGACAATGACCAGAATAATGTGCATCATGAGAAACAAGATATTTAATTTTAAAATTTGATCATAAGTTAATGTTTTACGAAAATAAAATCATGATTGTATAATTTTGAATTATAGTTTATTTTTTTTCTTTTAATCTATTTGCTTTAGTAATATTCACTTATATTTTAACACTATATACCATTTATTCTTTAATTAAAATTGATAGATTATCTCTTTCTCAAATATTAAAAGAATTTTATGGTGTATATTTATTTATTTATTTTTAAATTCAAAATGACTTATACTAATTATAGCGAAAAGGCAAAATATCCAACTCTGAACTTGTTTTAAAAAGTTGATT